TTAATCAAGAATTTTAATGAATGTGGTGGAAACAACATCCTGATAATTGGATGCAAGCAGTTCAACACTTTGCTATCAAAAATAATCTAGCATAAAGATTTTTTTTTATTTTATTTTTCATATTTATATTTGGTTTGTTTGTTTTACGTCCTATTAACAAAAATAGTCGTTTAAGAACGTGCCAGATTTTGGGGTGGAGGTAGACCGGAGTTCCCGGAGACCCAGTAGTGGAGGGCTAGTGATAGCAGAATATCAGACGGACGTGCCTGATTTTGGGGCGGGGGAAACCGGAGTTCCCGGAGACCCAGTGGTGGAGGGCTAGTAATAGCATAATATCAGAAGCCTAAACTACTTGGCCACCGCAGCCCCCTTCATATTAAGAATCAATAAACAAGAGTAACATAACTAATAATCGATAAAACTAAAACAAAATATTAAGATGACGACAACCACGACAGGTATATCTTGATTTAATCCTAATAATGTGACGTTCTGGAAGGGAGAACCAGGGTAGCGACAACAGAACAACAACCCAGACTGATTTTTTGTTTATTAAAGACAGCATCATGAATATGTGCTAAAATACGGGGTTGATATGAAACTGATTATAAGTGGTTGTCTTTATCTTTCTGCATCAACATTTGTTTTCTCTCCATAAAAGTGGGGACATAGAGAGCAGCCTGATCAAATATACACACGTAATGATCCAACATCCTGAATGTTTGAGTTTTCAGGTCATAACAACATCGAGGTCATATGAAAATGGGAGCCTAAGGAGACAGCAGAAAAAAGAAAGAGCAGACAAAGAGAAAGGTAAAAAGAGGATAAAGAAGAAAAAAACCCCGTATTAAATAATACATTGGGAAAAAAAATCTGTAACAGGTGTCAAATTATATAAAATTGAGTTCACTTAGATTCGTTAGGTTTTGGAATTTTAAAGTTTTCATTTTTTTCTACGTCACATGCACAGTTTAAAAAGTTCTGACACAATTGTTCACACGAGATACCTCCTCTTACTGTTCTGTGCACAGAACGGATGAGGGGAGGTAACTCGTGCACGTAGTCGAGGTAATATGTGATAACTCACCGTTAAAACGTTGTCAACGTCATACCATTAGGCCTAGTCTACGACTAAAATAACATATACCCCGACTGTCCTTTGGTGTATTTGTTCAAATTCAGGATTTATCACCGCTGAGATACTGACATAGGAAAATCCTGTTTAATTAAAGAGTTACAAATTTCAAATGACACTCCTCCTTCATAAGGTACGTTAGTATAAGTACACTTCGATTTAATGGACAAAAGGTTATATAACTCTGTACAATTCTATATTGAAGGTATTAAACTTAAGTCTTGGTTACAGTGGCAGAGGGACACGGATCCTTCAGGTAAAGTTCGAGGATTGTACCTGAGAATAACATAACTCAACGAGTACGGGTTACTAATTCAACACTAGTCTCCGTTGTGTGTCAATTGCCGGGGACAGAATATGAGATATTCTCCGGAAAAGTGACGCACGGACTGACAGCGTATAAATCTTATTAGCCCACTCTGGCAATCGGGAACCGTCGGCACGTTCAATAAACGAGTACGGAAAGTGTTGACGTTTCCCGATTGGCCCTTCCGGGGGTACTGGAGGAGAACTAATGAGTTTAGCTGGCACTACTAGAAGGCAAAAATATATACGCCAATGACCATCCAATAAACCCGTTTTGCTGCACGGGACACTGACATCAATATTTGAGTAACTAGCAGATATTTAATTATATTCGTTTTCCAGGCATTCCAAACCTAGTAAGTTTAGTATATTACTAATGGCCGATCTTTCCCTAAAAGAATAAACATGAAAAGGTATTTTTTTTAACCTTGGGCTATACAATCATTATTCGGTTAATGTTAATGCAATTTTTAAAAATATGTTAACAGGTACATTTTTTCAGAATGTCCACCGGTTGCTTTTAAGATAAATATTTGCGCACGCCACCATTTACCTTAGGGATCAGTCGAGTCACGCTTGCTGTGACGTCCCCGAAGATAAGATAACAGATTGTGTGTCTTTCTTCTCCTGTTGTCCATGAAGGTAGGCGCATAGGATACTGAACTACTGTTTACGGTTTTATATATTTCCGTTTATTTTCATAATTTTCAAACATAATACAATATAAACTATGCTCTGTATAACCGTTAATATTTCTTTGTATAAGAAGTGTTCATAGTTGACATTCAAATTCATTCAAACTTAATGTGTTATTAAGTTGTCAAGACCTGACACACGATGATCTGTAGGTCGATTTGAAGCCCTAGCATATGAGGCATTGTAGCACGTGTAAGCCAATGGAGATAACCAATTTAGCTTACTGTGATGAATGTATAGAAATATATAGATCTATAATACGCAAATGTTACTATGCTTACTGTATTTTTTAATATAAAAAGACCAGCTGGGAATGTTTTGATTGAATATTGATTTTTTCAAAAATGTTTAATAATTTCATGAGCTGTGTACTCGTATGTGCTTTGTATCGGCAGAATGATGTCGATAGGGCTTCAAAGAATAATTTTGAGGGATTATTATTTTCGCGTTTTCGGGGTATAAGTGTTTCCGCGAAAAAATACATCCCGCGAAATCAGTAGCAGGTTAATCCAGACTTACCGCAGCACTATCAGTCATTGTTACTATATCTAAATTACACCAGTAAAATATCCTGCGAATTTGTCCATTGCGGCAAATCCGCGAAAATGACTTTTACAGTATTCGATCTGGTCCTTCTAAACAATAAGTTCAAACACATTTATATCTGTGTTATTGTATAAGAGATGAAAACACATTGTAATAAAATTGTTATCAAATGTGTCGTTTAAGCAAAAAATAAATGAATAAATACATATTAAACATTATAGTGACCCTGACAATTTTTATCATCGAACCAATTTTTCCGCTGTAGCGATTTATAAGTATACAAATATTAAATGGATAAAAAAGGCACCGTCAAGTAAATGAATGACGTCATTATTTCAATTATCATCATTATGAAGTTACAATTAAAAGCACAAAAAAGTCAATAAATGATGTAATACATTTTTTTGGTTTGGTTTGGTTTAGTTTTGTTTAACGTCCTATCAACAGCTATGGTCATTTAAGGACGGCCTCCCCTGTGTGAAAGATGCATGCGTGTAGTGTATGTGTGTGTATTGTGGGAGGCTGCGATATGTTCGTGTTTGTCTCCTTGTGATAGCGCGGAACTGATGCCGACTTTATAGTGCTACCTCACTGAAACATACTGCCAAAGAAACCCAGCAGGACACTCCACCCTGTCACATTATACTGACATCGGGCGAACCAGTCGTCCAACTCCTAAATTGCTGAGCGTTAAGCAGGAGTAGAAACGACCATTTTTACAGACTATGGTCAGTCTCGGCCAGGGGACAGAACCCAAAGTCTTCCTCACAGGGGCGAACGCTCAACTAAAGGCAAAAAGTGAGGCATTGTCAAGGGAGACATATTAGGAAGAAGAAAGTTGTTTAGAAAGAAGAGAAAAGATAAGATCCCAAATTTAGTCGCATCTTATGTGATCATGCAATGGTAGCAGGTATAATTCTTACGCCCTACTACTGCAGGGACCTTAGAACAAATTACCCACTTAGATATTCCTGCAGTGGGAATAGTCAGCCAATCCCCTGGAGCTATGAGATAAGACATACTTCACTTACTAAGCCTACCGCTGATAATTCACGTCCTCGTTTCGTGATACCGCATTGATTACTTACTTTAACAACGCAACATCTTAAGGTGATTCGGTGCATTTTAGAGTCAGTTGACCTAGTCAGCCTTTCAGCCGATAGTTTCTGTCCAGACATAAAACGACTTGCCATAAGCCTTTCCATTGAGTTCTATGTTAATTTCTATTTTTCCTGATTTCTTTTCTTTTCATTCCGATTTGATGAAATACGACACACAACTGAAAATCTACTAAGGGGGCGCGGTGGCCAATTGGTTAATGCGTCTGGTATGATTCTATCACTAGCCCTCCACCACTGGGTCGCGGTTTCAAGACTTGCGGGGGGCAGTCAATAGGTACTGGCCGTAGTTCGAAAGTTTTTCTGAAACACCAATATCTGGCACGTCCTTAAATGACCCTAGCTGTTAATAGGACGTAAAACATATTTTTTTATGGCCACATTTAATACTTTGTCTGTGGGAATGCCGTTAACATAAACTTATATGCAAAAGTAATAAGTGATATACATATTTCAATTACACGGGCAATCTAACTGTATCAAGAATACTAAAATAAGAACAGGATCTTTCTCCAGCTATATGAACTTTTATTTTATCAAAATTGGACGAAAAACAAAGTAGGTAATTTTTTTATTGAAAAAATGGGAAATTAATATGAAATTGACTTACACGTACCATGCACAGTTTATGACACGTCACTTTGTATTCTCTTAGTTGTATCCCTGGTCATAACGGTTAGTTCTGTTTGACCAGATTTAACGCAATTTCATCTGTATGCATTTTAGTTATAAGGTCTAATGAATTAACAGAAACCATAAAAGATTCATATACAAGTAAAGCTCAACTATGTCAGCAAACGTTAATCCTGACTTGTAGTATCTGTCATTGTCAACGACTTGGCGAGTGTGTGTCTGTTTTCATGAATGCTCCTTGTACATTTAGATCATGCAATTCCCCTTTCTTGATAGTAACGTCAATGGTTACCAAACATACAGTGTGAACATGTTTTAGTAAATTCTTTATTCAAGAGCTTGCTCGAAAAAATCATGATTTCTGTGCTAAACTGCTTACAAATAAAAAATAAACTAACAACATTGCATAGGTTCCTCGAACCGTAGGTTGATACAAAATAATAATAATAATAATAACAGACTTTATTTAAATTCGATAACACATTGAGTCAATGACTCGTCTCACATGTGGTCGACATAAAATGTACAATATTTACAACATGGATATGACATACACGTACATACATAAGAAATTAAGTAACATATCACAGGTAATAAAACATTGTATTATCTTTAAAACAAAAAACAAAAAACAACAACACACTCCTGCATCGTGTATCCAATAACAAAACTACGTAATACATATCACAGATATATTGGTATGTGATATCACACAGGCTTACAATAAAATATGTCACACGTGTATTGGAAAATAAAAAGTTGGCTAAATATCATGCAATGCATAAATTCTCATGCTGCATTTTAGAAGATTTAAGAAACGCATAATGCGTCTAATATACATACATGTCATTGTGACAAAGGGTAAAAAATTACAGAATATACGCTAATGTAGCGTGAGTTAATACCAAAGTGTTGATTAGGGCATTAGGAATAGTAATTAAGATAAATTCTAAAACTTCATTTAGATACACGTGTGTCATATTCCAGGTACTACAGCAGATAGATATTTCAGGAGGGAAAGGGGGTGCAGATTTTTAATTTTCTTTACACTTGTCTTTATAGATTACATTGAGATGTTTTTTGCACTCGAACAAAACATTTGGCAACTTTTCTGGTCGCCATCTCAGAGGGTAATATGTTATTTCGTTTTGTAACATGAAAATTGATGTTAAAAAATGATTTTTTCATTAGTTTGCATCGTTGCTTATCACTTTGAGGACGCGTTCGTGACCGAAGGGTTGCGGGTTCGAGTCACGGCACGGCACTGTGCTGTATCTTTAAGCAAGATCCTTTACTCCGCTTGTTCCAGTCCACTCAGCTGTAAATGAGTACATGGTTGGGCAGTGCTAGAATTGTTGAATGCTAGCTGTGAGCGCCGAAATTGCAGCACTGTCTGTATGTTCCCCAGGAAGTTGAGAGATATATTGGCCGGTTGCAAAGGCCCCATAACCACGGACAATAATTTATGAACCGCTTTGAGACGACCTACGACCTAGGTTGTGATAAAGTGGTTTATAAGAACCTCGAATTGTTATCATTATCATTTTACTACGGATTACAGGATGAATTTCGTCGACGAAGATGAATAAGCTTAGCCTTCAGGAACGCTTTGTTTTATTTCCCATACATATTTAAGAGATTCCATGTAAACCTTTCCTTTGTTCATGTTTTGCCTTTGGTATATCCATCATTACATTTTAGCATGAACGACGTCTTGGTTTTACACCTGGGTATTCTCTTGATATTTTCCCGGTGTCATTTGCGGTGTCGGATATTCTCACTCCTCTGGAACACCTGGTTTTCACGTCATTTAAATGAGGGCTTAATATAAAGCGCCATTTTGTTTTGGTGTGACCTCATGATTTATTTTATCAATTTTGTGTTTTGATTTGTCCTTGTGTGTTCAACAAATGGTACATTTAGTTGTCCTATTTTATTTTATTCATTTAAAATGATATATTAATATTAGAGAACAACATTTTAAACCAGAAAATGTTAGAGTTACACATGGTTACACATGTAAATATTCTAGATTTACAATGGGTGTTTTCATCCCATTTGGGTTTACATGTTTACCATGAAAACAATGTTGTTTTTACATACTTTTGTGATATGTACATACCCATGTCATCATGACGAATAATTTTTCTTTTCAATGTTCTGTTTTAAAGTATACGGTCATCATGAAGACTACTTTATGGATAGTATGTCTGGCCATCGTTGCTGTGCACGGTCGGCCAGAATCTAAGGAAAGAAGATACGATGGGTATGTGTGATCAATGATAGGCTGTTAATTTTGTTATAAGTTGCTGCATGACGATGACTGGGGGTTATATCAGAGATCGAAACATTCATTAGAAACCTTCTTTTTGACCAATCAGCGGGTCAATATGCCTAATCACAAACGGTAGGTAATATAACAATCACTATTTTTGCCAAACCCACAGACCTAGTCACACTGGTGGGTGAAGATTCAACTACTATTGTGACCCTTCAAAAGGTTACAATAGCGGTCCATATATGTTTAGCAATAGTGGTTGCCTCTACACCCACTAGTGTTATCGGGGCTACGATAGTGGGTGAGTTTATATTTTCAGCAATAGTGATTGCCTCTACACCCAATACTGTTATCGGGGCTACGATAGTGGGTGAGTTTATATTTTCAGCAATAGTGATTGCCTCTACACCCACTAGTGTTATCGGGGCTACAATAGTGGGTGGAGTACTATAGGCTCTCGACCAATTACCAAACAGGAAAACACATATATATCTATTTATGAATTACACACGCTTATTATCTCAGATGTATTGTGTGTCAATTCAACATTGATGTTTCAAATCTGCGTTATCTCCCTTTTTTGTGAAATTTAATATTTTAAACTGATAGAATACATGCCTTTGCTTCATAAGTATGAATGATTGTCATAATAGTCTTGAATGTTTCCCGAAAAACTTTGACTACATTGTCACTTTTTAAACAAAACCTAAAGCAATACATTCTTATAATACATGAATTGTATATGACAAATGTTTTCGCTAGAATAGCGTTTACATAAATACCACAATGTTATTTTTTATCTTCAGCCATCAAGTTTTGAAGGTGTTTCCCAATCTTTTGGAAAACTTCAAGAACATCGAAGCCCTAGGAGACAAATACAATGTAAGAACTCATTATCTGCATTTTTGGTATTTTGGGATACATTTTAACCTGACAACATGTCTAATCCAAATCTGACATTCTTTTTCATCCAACCTCTGAGTAATTCGACATCCTTTCTGATCCAACATAAAGTTGTTAACCTCTTTTCTAACCATAATCTGTCGCAGATAGCCTTATTTGTCAAATACTTGTCTGTGATATGGAATGATACTGCTAGCTGTGCATATGCGCGGCGGCCAAGTGGTTTAGGCGTCTGACATTCTGCTTCTACTAGCCCTCTACCACTTAGTCGCGGGTTCGAGACCTACGTGGGGCAGTCGCCAGGTACTGGCCGTTGTTCGGTGGTTTTTCTCCGGGATCTCCGGCTTTCCTCCACCATCGTAACCTAGCACGTCCTTAAATGACCCTAGCTATTAATAGGACGTAAAACACAAACCAAACCAAACATATGTGAGATCCCAGGACCGACCCTTATCAACAACAAGCTACTTGTAAAACGATAACACTGTGTATATAGGTCATACGTTACGTTGATCAATGTAAATAAAACAGAGAGCAGACATAGATAGTCTTCCTGTTAACTCTAAGAAACGTTTATTCGATACAGTTTCTGTGCAATCAATTTATGATTATTTACATTCAATTAATTTCTATAATAAGATATGATATATTTTATAAATAATTCGTTTGCTATTAATATATTTTGACATCTTTTCACTTTTGAACCTTTTGTTTTTTGTTTTTATGTATTCAGTTTTTTGTGAATGTCTATTTTCACACTGTTATTTGGCCCTGAATCTCAAATTGACGATGGGCCGTAAAAACAATACAATACAATTCAAAACAATACAATACAAAACAATACAATACAATACAATACAATACAATCTTCCTGTTAAGCAGTATTTTGCGAAGCTTCTTTGTAGTTCTTTATGCGTGATGTCAGCATTTATATATTATTGGTATACTAGCTTTGACCATAGCGTTTAGCTTATGATGTCACTGTTACGGGCCCAGTTGTGTAAACATTTATTAGCTTAATCAGTGATTAGCGCAAATTTTATTTTTGTGTATCTTTAAAACTCAGCTATTAAGTCAGTTACAACTTTCCAGATAGCCAAAATGTCAGAAGAGTGAATTGCATCCAAAACTACAAGTGTCTACCTTGTATATTTACCAAATTATAAGAGGTTGGAAAATGTTGTTAAACAGTGATTATGCTAATCACCTTTTGAACAACTGGGCCCTGATCTCATATTTCAATACCAGAATATACGATTTGATTACAGCCTTATTGGCGTATACAATTGTAATGATACGAACGACAAGCATCCCATTTCAAATGTTCAGAAAAATATAATGATGATCTTTAATTTGTAGATATTAATTTAGAAATGATTAATAAAGTTATGAAATTATTTGAAGGAGCGAGCAGAGTCTAACAAAAAACACAGGTATAACGGATCAAGTAGCATGCTTCTTTTAAAGGTTGACGATGATTCTTAACTTACGATATCAGGTTTGACTGAATTAATCGGTAGGAAGCATAATGTATCTACCAATTTTCTCCCATGTTTTGAGATTGTGTATGTTTTCATTTTTAAGTTGGACTTTTGGAACCACCCTAAACATCAGAATGGGACCTACGACATTCACGTGACCCCTGAAGAGGTCACAGACGTCATGGCTGAGCTGAAGCAATTAGGGGCGAACGCCAACGTATGGATAAACGATATCCAATCGTAGGTTGTTATTTTGATAACCAAGAATATAACAAGATATACAATAGGTATATAAATCTGGAACCCTTGCGTTACCCGTATTTAAAGTTGTTTTTGTTTGACAATGACGACAGATTGTTTTACTGTTTTCCGTTAAAGTCCGCATTCGTCTTATTTATTATAGATGCTCTGCAAGTAGACTTACTGCTGTTTTCTACTTTTTCCCTTTTTTTTTGTTTCCACTTGAAATAAAACATATATTTTTAACGTTCAGCCTCATGAGCCGAGAGAATATCTGTAAAAATAAATCACCATGGTGTCTATGGTGGTTTTTTTTAAAGGAACATGACATGTTCTAAACTTGTAAGCGTTTGACTATTATTCACTGCAGGCTTAAGGTACAAGATACGATTGTTTTACTTTAGTGCATGATCGAATAAGGAATTCGCTGATCGCTTCTAAATTTTTTTCTTCTTGTTTTCAAACATATCTTATTTATTTTTAGCAATCAAAGGGATTAAACTCAGGTACACGACATTTTTTTTATTATAAGTGATGCCAAACGTTTTAACATAGTCTCATTGTATTCGATATGAATGTCTTTAGTTTGATTTATTAGGGTCTAACGTCATATTAACAGCTTAGGTCATTTAAGGACGTGCCTCCATGTGTGTTGTGTATGGGTAAATGTGTTTGTATACTGAATGCGGTATGTTGATATTTTCCCCCTTGCGATGTACTAATCTGATGCCGACTTTACAGTGCTATCAATCTGAAATACCATGCCCAGGACACCAAACATAGTATTAAATGCGAGTACATTATAATAACAATGGGTAAACCAGTTCTTGCGATTACCCTGAAAGCTGAACGTTCAGCAGGAGTCAACGACTACCAATTTAAGGACATAAAAATGTCCCGGCCTTGGGACAGAACCCGTTGCGTTCCTTGATTGGGCAAACGTTAAACAATAAGAATAAAATTGAGATATTGTCAAGGAAGGCGATGGAAAACAAGAAGGTTGTTGAGACGTAGAGAGAAAAATCATACATCAAATTGTTTTGCACGGGGTGCATGATATTTATTTTGATAATTTTGTGTCCCCAAATAGAGAGTACAGAAGGAAGTCCGCAGTTCTCCTAGGGTCTTCTACCTGTACGGATGAACCAAAAATAAATACAGCAGGTAGAAAAAAAGACGGAAATAAAGAGATGGGAAGAAGGATAAAGAAGTGCAGTTCTGAAAGTTGTCTAATAACTAGTTTCTAACAACTATGAATATATGTATGAAAACTGTACAGCAAGTATAATATTGTTTTAGAATGGAAGATAAGCATCACCAGTAGAGGAACGTAGAATAGTGTTTTGTTGAGGGACTGGCTGAATATGAGCATAAAACACTCCTAATCTATGTTCCTCTATCAAAGGGACATTGAAAAGACATTGACTGATCTGCTTGCTAACTTATCTGCTTGTTGATTTTAGGCGTCTATAAAGCAAAGGTTTCTCTTCGTTTACATCTATGTATAACCTCTCTTATTCTACCTGGTTGATCGACTGGTAGGGCTTTACATCCTTGCACCGGATATCTCCGCAACTAGGACAGAGACAGTATAACGTGATTTTGGTGAAAAGTCTTTAAAAATGCATCACAATCATATTGCATACACAGTTTTTTCTTTTTCTTATAAAGACAACATTTAATCATATGTGGAGCCGTCAACGGTTTGATGTGTCCGTTCTACATGTTTTTTTCTGCTTCAGATTAATAGAAGAATCTAGACCGTCTGATCGCCAAAAAAGAGCCACTTCGACAATGAGTATGAACCATTATCATTCATATGCTGAGGTGTGTCTAAAATATTTTAAATTCATGGTTAACGTTTGTCCTTTCCTATGTACCAGTGAAATATGTTTGAAATTTAAAAATATATATCTATTGATGTGCAATTTTTAGTCGTTGTTTTTATTTCGTGTTTAATTGAAGTAATAAATAGGACAACAAATATTTTTTTATTGTTTTTTTCTTGTCATTAAAATATTTTCGTGTCAAACACATGGATGTCGTGCACATTGTCTACTAGGTAAGCAAGTGAACACTTTATTTTGCTGGTAATGGAAATGCTCTAAAGAACAATTAATTTGGAAGAAACAAAAACTTTACATTCGTCTTCGTTTGATTGGAATTTTCAGATCAACGCTTTCCTGAATTCCATCGTGGCTTCGAATAATAATACCCATCTCTACAAACTCGGTTCTTCTGGCCAGGGCAGATCTATCAATCTGATTAGGGTATGTAAGCCATGCCCTTACCTACAAAATCTGATCATATGTGCAGTTCAATCTATTATTCTGATTAGAGCAAGAAAGTCACGCCCACCTTTATGAACTCTGGTTATCTGTCCAAGGCAGATATGTTAATTTCATTATGGTAGGCAAGCTACGCCCACTTCTATAAAACTTTGGTGGATGTTTTTATTTATCCTCTTATTACAGTTATTATACATACAAATGTACTGTGCCATAATCAGCCAACCGTCAAATTGTATACAATATAATCACCATGGTACTTTTCCCGTTTTTGTATCTATAGTGTGTGTCATAATCAGTCAACTGTCAAATATAGTATAAAGTATTACTTATGACACTTTTTTCAATTATATATATGATATTTTGTGTCATAATCAGTCAACCGGCAGGTTGTATGTGATATTATAATCATGATACTTTTTCAGTTTTTTAATAGATATACCGTCATATTTATTCAACCATCAAATTGTGTATAACATGATTATTATTGTGTTTTTTCAGTTTTCTACCGGTACGACATCCAGCGGGGCACACAAGAAGAGCATCTTTATGGACGGTGGAATCCACGCTCGTGAGTGGATAGCCCCTGCCGTTGTCCTTTATATGATCGATCAGGTGGGTGTTCAAAATTAAGTTGTTACGTCATACAATGACGTAACGATGACGTACCATATGTTTTAATTGATATACAATATCTGAAAAGTTTTTAGTGTATGGAATGAGTTTCGTGAGGGTACAATATCTTCGAGTTGGAGATTCTGTTTATCTTATGATAAACCTATGATGTAAAATGGCACACTATAAAATAGAAAACAAAACGAGAAAACGTGACATTTTCGTCTTTTATCATGTGATCAAATGAGTCATTATATGTCACTTGTTTAAACATGATGGGATGGCTGTCTTGCAATAAGTAAAAGGTGTATCACATGATGCGTATTGGTATTGTATACAAAACGGCCACGCGCATACGTGTGACATCATAAAGGCTTATCAGACTCCTTCGAAATGACGTCATAATTGTTTTTTACAACCTTTTGTCCTGATAAATCTTAATTTAGATATTTTGATAGTGTTTATAGTGGGGAAAGTACGTCATCAGTTCAAACCACGACACTCGAGACGACATACTATCCCCATTTTTAACGCACTTTAACAAATACAATATACATTGTATATATTTCTTGTTGGCAACATTGTTCATGTAACTCTACAGTGAACTGGCCAATCCGAAATAAGCTTTTCAAACGTTGGTCAATCTGTCATGTGCTATGTATGTTTGCTGACAAGGCGGACAGTTTCAATTATTTATGGCAATATCCTGTCTCAACGCTTTTATGATACAGGTTAAGATTTAGATCAGCCATATTCTTGTTATAGTGTATGACAAGCTGTGCGTATGATGCTAGTGATCATTTTCTGTGAAAAAATATGTTAATGTCATGTAAAATGCATACGACACACGATTCGTGTATGTGGAATTCACACACTGTTCGGATATTAGTTTCAGTAACAAATCAAGTTAAGTGCAAGCATTTATTGGATGACGTCAGACGGTTGAAGGTGAAGCCTCGGATAGTGTATATTTTGTTGATAACTAACTAACTGGTTTTTGTTTGATAACATCTGATAGTTGAGGATATAGCGATGGGTCGGTTTGAAATGTATTGCAGTTTATGAGGAACCAGTTGATTTATAGGTTTGGCAGTACCTTGTTGAGGGCATTGTAACTGGTATGGTTAACCTTACATTGTTATGCATTAAAGAATAGAGTACTCACGTTTTGACAATCGCAATAACTGTTTTAAAAACGACTTATTAAAATAACCGGAAATCCAGAAGATGGCTTTAGACTCTTCCCAAGTGTGTGACAAATTTGTGTTTGAATAGTTTTCATTTTGTTTTTGAGATTTGCTCCAAATAAGACTTGGCTTTATTGTGGTAGGAGGGGCTTAACAAGATGGAGGCGTGGCTGTATCGCAGATTGGAATAGCATATTTGTTCAGTCAGAACAAGCATTGCAAATGCATCCTGTTAGAACTAAAATATAAATTACGTAATTGATGAAATAATGTTATCATGGTAAAATATTACATTGCGCAAGCAGGGTCGCGAAGTTTCATTGGCTAGCAAGGTAGTGTAAACTCCTTTTATTAATGTTCAAGCTCTAAAAGTATTCACAGAGGATGTGCATCTACAAGAGAATTCATAAAGCACAAACACTTGACATAATAAAAAAAAACATGCATCCAATCCATAAATTGGCGAAAAGGATAAAACAAATGCTGCTAGAATATACCAGCAATATAAGGAGGGGTAATTGCTTCATATAAATATTTAATTCGCGCCATGTTTGCGTTTTTGATAGGAAATTAATAAAAAAAAATCCAGGCAAATTTTGTTCAAAATGGCGGAAGATATACAATACATGTATATCCCGGAACAACACACCAATATTTAGATGACGGCTTTTGTTTGTTGTTTGCTTTCATATGTAAACACCCGCCATAAAAAGTCCCTACTAGTATATTGGTTGCAAGTCACACGAATGCATGACGTTTTTCTACCTCCTCCGGGGAAGAGCTCTTTTATCCCGGAAACAAAGTATTGGCAAGCAAAATATTTTCTTTATTTTTAGTCTTGACCATAAGATCATATACTTATGTCTTGAGCAGAATGTTTTCCCTGCATTGTTGAATTTGCCAATGTATCCTGTCGTGAAACATTGGAAAATAACACTGCTACGAATATTACCGTGAATGCAGTATTAAATTTCGATGTCACTGTATTTGTTTAGCTGGCTAACAACCCTAACTCTGACCCAGACATCGCCAATCTGATGGACAAGTTTGACTGGTATCTTGTACCACTTGTCAACCCGGACGGATATGAGTACACCAGATCCAGCGTGAGTAAACGGGATCAGAACTTCTTTTCTAGCAATTGTACACCTTTTTCATCCCTCCAAGGCCACCAATTGAATACACAAAATGATAGGTAAAAGGTAAACATAAGTATGCGACAACACTTTGATTAAAACCTTACGCTGCTCATTTTGCTGAAATCCCTAACCATGGAATTTGGCAGACTTGCACATTGGTGCCCGTTTGACTTTGTTTTCCTTCACTTAACTGCGATTAATTATCATCATAGACTCCTTATTTATCACATAACATAATGTGTCATCCAGTGAAACTACCCTTGTCATATTTTTCGCGTATTAACCCATGTTATATGATCTATCAGCACTGTGTTTGGATGTAAGTTTCAATTATTTCAATTGTGACGTCACGAATTGGACATGACGTCAAAGACGTACGCACTGGAGTCAAAATGACGGCTATTTACATTTCAAGGTTGCTTGAAAATTGTCGTTTTACACGAATAAGTGCCATAAATCTTGATCGTGTGATAAAAAGAATCTAACACTCGTTTCGTTTCATAGAAAATTTATGAAACTCGTCACGAGTTTTAATATTTTAGTTCGCCAGGGGCTCGTTAAATTGAGAAATTCTTAGCCACGTTTCATAAATCTCATATGAAAGGAAAACTATCCTATATATTAAAGATTCATTTTATTAAAGCAAAAACAATTACCAAATGACCAAACAAGTAATCGGTTTAAAATTGCAAACGTTGATTTATGATTTTTGTAGGTCAATAAATAATATCATCAAATCAAACAAAATGTTTCGCGCTTGAAGTTCCAATACGCTTGCGTGTTGTTTATCAACACTAGTTTATCAATTTTAAGATTTGAAAAATAAAATCGCTTGAGCTCGTTTTCTTTTGAATTTTGCCCAAAATTATATTTCTCTCGAGTTAGATAATAAACAAAGCGCACTGGTTGTAGGGTAAAAACAAGTTAACACAAACATAGAAGAAGTAAAATTCTGTTTATAAAAAGACATCCGTAGTTTTTTAAGCCGGGCATTGAGGAGGTCACAAACCTATAAATAAGGTTCTTGAATGTAGACCCTCAGCCTTTCGTTTATTTTGATAACGCAAAATCTGATTGTACTGGTCGATATTTCTTTGTCTTTCCATTGAAGCAGTATTTTTTTTTTTTATTTATAAACAATAATGAAACTGAAAAAAAAGAGGTTAACAAAACACAAAATGTAAACACGCAGTAGCTCGCTAAATTTTGTGTTTTGTTTATAACGTCATCTCAGCAATTTTTATTATTTACAAAATGACCCTTGAACATTCTATAGCTGTCTCTGTACGGAAACTCTCTTTACAGGATCGTATGTGGCGGAAGAATATGGCGAGCAGTTATGGAACGCATCACTCCTCTTTCCGCGGATGTGGTAGTGACGAAATGGGTGTGGATCTTAACCGTAACTTCGCCTATCACTGGAACCCAGGTAATACGCACAATATTCAATCAGGAACATTAATTGTCGGATTAACATCAGGTTTATCTATTGTCTTATCGGTTTAATAAAACCTAACATAAGCAAATCGTGTATAATACGGCATTCCTTATAAGCAATGTTATTCATCCGAAGTAAACTAAAACACATATATACCATAAACGTTTTTTTTGTTCTCCATCATGGTCCCTAACTTTCGCAGATTTGCTAAAATGGTTCAATTTGCGGGATCTGTTATTCGTGAACTGAAGGTATAGTGGTCATCACATATACTGATAACGAAAGTTATTATTAATTTTGCGGGATTAGAATTGTTGAAAATGTATTGCTGAAAAAGTCGAATAAAAAAACTAGAACTCCAAAAAAAGCCCAGCCCTTACGATAAAGGGGATTTTCGGGCAACTTAAGCTTTTCACTGTAATCTATATATGTTAAGGCCCTGTCTCCTTCAAGCACACATACACTAGACACATGGAGGCACGTCCGTAAATGACCTTGGTTGTTAATAGGACGTTAAACAAAATTAAACCAAACCAAACCAAACCAAAGTTATCTATATATGTTTAGGAAAACATTAGAAATATTTACTTTGGTTGGCTTTTTGAATAAAAAAAGACTAACATTTAAATAGGTGGTTCCTCAGTTCAGATTTTAGTAACTGTTTTGTTTTTTGTCTGCCCATACTTTGGTCTACCTATTGTATACGTCCTTCACTGTCGTCTCTTGCCATTTTACATGTATCGTCTTCTTCAGTTAGTCCTACTATTTCACATTTCGTGTGATCAGATTTTAATAAAACATGGTCAGTAGATTTTAGACAGAAAGAGGATATGTTCGATAATGAGCAGAACTCGCGCGTATCTATTTAGCAAACTGACAACCGATCTCGGTACTCTTTGTTGCTAATGTGTTGTAGTTTTATTCTTAGTCACCATAATTCTGCCTTTAAAACGTGTACACATTTTAAGCCAAAGGTCAAAATCAAAAGTCAAACTGTTGTATCTGGGTACTACTTAGGGTCATTGATGTGTTACACACAGTATTTCTATTTCTCAAACTCAAGGTGAATGTTATACGTTAAAGTCCAAGGCCAAACTGTAGGATTGAGATATTTTTGGGGCTATATTGTTGTAACTTCTTATCTTTTATTCATCACAAAGTAAATGTTATACGTCAAGGTCAAAGTGCTTACTACTGTTTCTAAACTTCCGTGCCTACATTATACTTACTTACCTACATAATACTGATTGTCGCATCATGCAAGCAATTGCTCTTATTTAATTTTCATTAATTTGTACATACCGATTTTGCATTCAATTTTTGTTGAATTTTTATGATTTCTTTCCCTTTAGCTTATTGATCAGAGCCCGAAAAATTTCCCAATCACTCATTGATAATTTATTTTGCCAAGATATAAAACAAATCATTTCAATTTGACATACTTTACAACTTTCAATAATTCCATATCAATATTTATAAACAAAGAGTTAATAAATATGCTGTTTTTTGTTTTTTATTCTTAAACATTTTTTTTAATAAGTTAACATTTCATATGGGATGAAACGATGCTATTTATTAAGCGATATAGTGCTGAAAAATATGACAGTTTGTTTAAGGAAAAAGTTTCTATTTTGATCAGGCTATAAAGGGATAAATCTAGTTGAGCATATGCAAACTAAATAAATGGCGAAATATATTTGAACTTAAGATGTCACCTCATCACCTGACTAAAATGAAACACGTTTCATCATATATACTGATTTTTTCTATGATTTACTATTCCATACACTACTCTGATTCTTCATTTTCAAAACATATTAACGTGGTTTCGATTCAATAAAAGTAACAGCCTGCAACAATCCTGCTCTTCATTGTAGTATTGCGATACATTTGTAACCTAGTATGGTAAAAAAAACAAAAAACAACAACATTATTAACAAATAATCATATATTTTATAATTAATCTGCTAGATTCAACTTGTTACTGATGAAAATATATGTAACATCATGTGTCTTTAACTTTAATATCACTTAACAATTTAGCCAACGGTGGCAGTTACGACCAATGTGAAGAAACATATGCCGGACCTCATGCTTTGTCTGAACCGGAAACGCAGGCTATGGCGCATGCGCTTGACTCTGTATCAAATCATACTTTGGTCTACCTCAACATCCACAGTTATGGACAGTACTGGATCTACCCCTGGGGATACACCTCTCATCTACCCGCTGATGCCTCAGATTTGGTAGGTTTATCTTTATTAGTATGATACAAAAATTCTGAGAAACACGTGCCTTTAATCATTAACCAATCAAAATGGATCTTGCTCTGTCTGCCAAATGGAGGCTATCGATAAAACGACAAGTACTCCCGGCGACAATTAAAATCGTGATTTTTTATGAACAAAAATGTAACAAAAGTTCAACCAGATGTGATAATAAAATGTATGCTGCCAGTTATTAACATAAGTGCTTCATAAATCAACGTTATCAAGATTCGAATGTAACATATAAAAATGTGTTTAAAGATCTATTAATGGAGGTGTACCTTACACTATTTACATTAATTGCTGAGGTATACATGTATATCATTAAGTAATTACGTGCGGAGTCTCTGCTAGAACCCGGATACACTGGGCTTCCTTACAATGAGGTGTTGACAGTTTTAATATGACATTGTCGCCCACATTACTTTAATAGATATATTGCATTTTCCCCACAACCACTATAGGTTCTCTCACTTTCGCCTAATAGGAGTCTCGCTAGGAGCTGATAAACAATTTTGGTTTCTGTCTAGTGCATGTGTACCACCGTGGACGTGCAATCATTGTCTACTTTTTTAATCAAGAAACAATGCTTTACGGTGTCATCTGTCACTTTGACGTCATATATCAGTGCTGTTATTTCCCCGTTCGGCAATAGCTGACATTTATTGGAGATAAAGATCCGTAAAGTGTCTCAAATTTGATAAAAATGATAACCAACCATCACTCTTTGGGAAACTAACTATGTAAATGTTATCTGTAATTTAGGTATAAAGGATTATTTTTGGCTTGACACTTTATTTACCCAAAGGATCACCTTGGCCGAGTAGCTGCCTCTGCCATATACCACACCCACAGGCATCGCTATACTGTCGGCGAGGATACAGTTGTTCTGTGTAAGTATATGGTACAAGGTGTGTTTGTGTGCCTGCCTTACGTTAATGTTTTTTTATTATTCTTAAGAAAACATGTGTATGTAATAAATGTTCTGAGTAGACTAGTAACGAAGGGTTGCAGGTTCGAGCCATGGCACGGCACTGTGTTGTATCTTTGAGCAAGATTCTTTACTCCGCTTGTTACTCAGCTGTAAATGAGTACGTGGTTGGGCTGTGCTAAAATTGTTAAACTATAGCTGTGAGCGCCGAAATGGCAGCACCGGCTGTATGCTCCTCAGGGACTAAAAATATTAGCCTGTTGCAAAGGCCCTATAACCACGGATAATAATTTGTGAACCGCTTTGAGACGACCTACGAACTAGGTTGTGATAAAAGAATCTCGAGTTATTGTGATTATTATTCAGTAATCACCGTGCATAATTTTCAACGATAATGTTGTTAATTTGAATAAATTTAGTTTTTGAGTAAATTAGTGAATATTTCTTAACGATAATTTCATTTGAACGGCTGTGTTGTTGGTCAATAAAAAGATAAATAAAAGGCAAATAATGGATTATTTATTGGAACATTAACATTTTAGCATATTTGGCATTGCATAGTTAAATCATTAGCTCTACTCCATACTGTGTGCAGGATTCCAGAAATATTACAGGAATCCGTGATTTAAAAAAGGCTTGGAAATATTGTTACTCATGTTTAGAGCTTCCTTTTAAGAATACTGCTAAAATTGCATAACATGGACATGTTTGACAATTAAAGGAACATTTTGCTAATATTTTTTTGCAATATTAATACTTACTTCTTTTGGATAGCACTTTCGTTAAAAAAACCCCACTGATTTTCCTTTGATGCTTCAGACTCTGCCGCTGGGGGCGCTGATGATTACGCTAAGGGCCATTCCGGTATCAAGTACGCCTACACAGTAGAATTGGGAGACACCGGTCACTATGGTTTCATACTTCCGGAACGTTACATTCAGCCTTCCGGCCAGGAAATTTGGGCCGGTGTTAAGGCTATGGCTCACGAACTGATTAGGGAATACAGTCTCTAGGCGTGGTTAATACTGTAAACAATTAAATATTAAACTTCTTTTGTTATAACTTGTTAAATATTCATTAACCTCTAGTATTTTTATTTGATTATTTTTCATATTTTTCACGCATATTAATTTGTAAAAATGTTTTACTTATTTCCATACATCTATGACAGCAAAAACTGCCGCAAGGTCCATGAGAATTTGATGCAATAGCAACATCATATAATAGCGTGCTATGACGTCATTGACGGTGCCTATTATTAGACAAAATGACCTTAAAACAATATTTCCCGACACCGTTTTGGTATGTTCATTTTGTTTGGCGTATTTAAAAGGGTCAAGAAATATTTAAGCCTTGGAATTTCCTTCAAATGTGATGTTTTTATCCCAATAACAATATTTCCCGACACCGTTTTGGTATGTTCATTCTGTTTGGCGTATTTAAAAGGGTCAAGAAATATTTAAGCCTTGGAATTTCCTTCAAATGTGATGTTTTTATCCCAATATTTCCAATCGGTAATTCCTCTCTAACGAAATTTCAGAAGTCATAGGTTAGTTTCTGGATCTGTTAATGATTCCTTGTTCTTTTTCAGACGATACTGAAAGGGTTGATATTACTCGAACTTACGAAAGGCAATCGCATTAGGTCACCTGAGAGACTCAGTTGACCTAAAATTATCATCATTAACTCCTATAATTTATTCAGGTTCATTCGAAAATTTGATTTTGACTTTAGTTAGTTGTAATGTAATACAGATTGCAGCCCTGCACAAGTGGTCGGAAAAAGCAAGACAACATATACCAGCGTCAACAAACAAGAACAAAACTCCAAACTAAAAGCTAGGCAAAAATACAACCAGTGGCACTGGGGAAACACCAAAACAAAACACAAAACATCATCCATTCCTCATTAACATTTGAAGTATAACATTGTGTTCTCACACCATATGTGACACTGATCATGGCGTGTCTTGGCTTGTCCAGTAAAGTATGTCGGTCGTCAACAATCTAAGACTCATATCGCTTGCAGATTTTGAGATCCTTTAGTAAAATATCCCTGTCCCACTGCAAACAAACATTACAGCATTCCACTGTTAACGTACATAGTAAAGTGAGTGAGCCTTATCTAACACAGAACACCTGAGACGAATTCTAGTAACCAATTGTGGCCAAACAACGGGCCGCGATGGCCAATTGGTTAAGGCATCTGACATTCTGCTACTACTTATCCTCTACCACTGGGTCGCGGGTTCGAGGCATATGTGGGTAGGTCGGTGATGTTCCTGCAGGAACTCCAGGCACGTCCTTAATTGACATTAACTATTAAAATGATGTAAAACACAAACAAACCAAAACAAAAATCTTCGTTTTGAGACCAACGTCCTCATTACAGCCGATGTCATATTAAAACGGGTACCTAGGAAGACACAATCTGAAAGAAAGAGCAATGAAGTGAGGCAGAAACGACGGAGATACAATGGGGCAGCACACACATTTTGGTTTCATCATTCTCCTGTGCAGAAGACACTGAAGAAATGCCCCGCTTCTACAGGGGCCCACATGTTAGCTGCTTTGTACCATAAGCTGCAGTGAATTCTTTCCCAGATTTAAACACATATCAGTTGGTGCGCGCCCTTACTTATGAATACCTACTCAAAAAACGTGTTAATTGATCAAACAAATAAACTGGCCTTCATCTATCTCATCTGATTTCTTTTCGGTAGACCATTAACATAAGTAAACAATGGTTGAAACTATACCCACTTGAAATAGTTAATATATTATGTCCTGGTAGCTATTGACAAACATGTATTCTACCACAATACGTTGTGTTATTCCACTCTCAGATCATTGTATAAACACGCAGTCTGTTAGATAAATATGAGTTATATACCACACGTGGTATATGACCTTCAAGAGTTTTGATTGGTCGAGAAGATGAACTTTGACCGGGACAACTTTTTCCACGCGCTTTTTGCCACATGCTATTTTGTTTACGTCGTCTGCTATCAACATCCGACAAATGTTGGTGACTTTGTGAGGTTATGCGGAAAAGGGAGTGATACTTAAATATTTGATCGCTAGTTTCAGGCAAAATTGCTAGAGACGCTCGATATCGTTTCGACGTCACACCGTCGCGTGTCCAGGTTGTGAAATCAAAACAAGATCTGTCACAGTGTCGGAAAATATTTCCTTCTCCCAACGTCCCGTTATCGCTATTTGGACGGCCTGACTATGGCTGAAATTTCACTATAAACATCAACCATAGAACCGTCAAGAAGAAACGTAGGCCTATGGCTTTGGACATTGATTAGTTCGTCTTCGTCACTTGGCGGGAGGCAGACTTCGTACGACATGCTTACGCATTTAATTATCAAAAGTTACAGAAAGACACGAGCTTTTTGTAACTTTTGAAAATTAACAAGCTCGAGTGAAATAAATACCATATTCAACAACCACTCGTTGTGTAACCTCTATTTAGTCCGCTTGTACTCTACCTTGTCGTTATGACCTTTACCTAAATATATTTGGTCATCCGGTGGCAGTCAGATATTGTTCTTGTGTAATCTTACAATAATACATAGAGGTCTTTATAATGCTTTCCCATGGACAAGTGTTGGGTATTACCATTTTATTTATTACGAGGGTGAGGCACGAGTGAAAACGTTGGTAAATATAAAGTAAAAAGATCGCGAGGAACCAGAACTATAACAGGAAAGAAGCATTTATCTATTTTGGCGTCACATAACATACACTAAGCATCCAACACATTGTCATTGGTCTTTAGATGTTCCAGCCTCCCAAAATACACACACATACACTACACGCATGCATCTTGCACACAGGGGAGGCCGTACTTAAATGACCTTAGCTGTTAATAGGACGTTAAACAAAATCAAACAAACAAACAAACAAACATCCTACAAGAATATAACGAGCCAAAAGATAACTCAAGACTAATAGCAACAGCAACAAAACATGTGCGCCAGATCTATGTAACGGTCCTGTTAGTTCAAAAAATTGCCCGAGATTACGTATCCATCGTATCATATTGACTCTGTTAGTTGATAGAATTTTATGATCGCCACTTAGCTTCAACTATATCCTTCAGTGGCGGAGGTAAAATGAAGTTCACATAAAGAGGTAAACTAAAGTGAACGATATTGAATAGTAATCAATATGTGTACTATCCAAAGCGAGCAGGACATAACAACACATAATATATGGGTTATCCATAGCAACCATGACACAACAACATGTATTATATGCTTGAACATTTCACGCAATCCTATTGGCCGGATCCTTTACACGTAATCAGTCCTCAAAAACTCATGTAGACTGGTTATCCGGTTAATATCGATTTCTAAATATAGCCTATATGGAAATTCCCAACCTGTCTTAGCACATGCACAGTTAGACCGGAACGCGATCTATTAGACAATAACATAGGTGGCTGCAGACGAATTCTTCGCCTCCGTTACATCTGAAATTTTCCAAAATCTACTCGTAGATTAAGATGCCGTTAACACAAATAAGGCCACCAAACACGCATTGCCTGTCCTCCATGCTTATCTTAAGGAAGAGGACGTCGACTTTCCCGCGGTCAAAAACAACAACATATGATATATCGGTTATCCATAGCGACCATGACACAACAACATATGATATATCGGTTATCCATAGCGACCATGACACAACAACATATAATATATCGGTTATCCATAGCGACCATGACACAACAACATATAATATATCGGTTATCCATAGCGACCATGACACAACAACATATAATATATCGGTTATCCATAGCGACCATGACACAACAACATATAATATATCGGTTATCCATAACGACCATGACACAACAACATATAATATATCGGTTATCCATAGCGACCATGACACAACAACATATAATATATCGGTTATCCATAGCGACCATGACACAACAACATATAATATATCGGTTATCCATAACGACCATGACACAACAACATATAATATATCGGTTATCCATAACGACCATGACACAACAACATATAATATATCGGTTATCCATAGCGACCATGACACAACAACATATAATATATCGGTTATCCATAGCGACCATGACACAACAACATTCAATACTTAGATTGTTCAAAGTGGTCGATATGAAATACCATAAAAGTAGGATTCTGGAAAAAAATGAACAAGTATAGGCTTTCAACACCATCACGTGCACACTGAATATGTTAGAAAACGACAGATGTCGAAACACCGGTCTGTCAGACATATTTTTGTCGTTGCTACTTCTGTCAATTATTTTGTTAATTTATCCTGATCAACAAGTATCAGGATTTTGTTTCTAGGTAGTTTACGTCCTCACAACAGCTAAGGTGAATAAAGGTGCCCAGGGAGACACAGTAGGGATACGAAAAAAGGGGAAATATACACTGTAGATCCCAAATGTTGCAATGTAGGCAGCAGGTCAATTTTGGTATTTTCTAAAGCTCATAAGCTAAAAGCGAAGAATAAATCCCAATTATACAGGGGGTTCCTCATTGGTCACCTCTTTCCATAGCATGCAGTAATGTTTTAACTCGCTACAAAGTGTGTAAGCTTCAGACGAAATACAGAAGGCAAAACTACTTGCCTATATTATATATCTTTACTTCTGTTAATAAGAACGCAATTTGCAATTCGCTCACCTTAAAATTGCGTCATTTGCTCTTAGACTGATTACAATAAATAATAATGAAAGAACTGAAGAATGAAGAAGAAAGGAAAGGAAGCGTAATTGTTTTTCGATTGTGCGATTCTCCTGTGGTTTGCAATGGTGTAATAATTAGCAAGATGAAGTAGTTTCAATGACATCGAAAAGTCATATATCGAAGCAGGCAAAGGGTTATAGTTACACTAGAATGTCGTCTATGAAAATGGAAACTTGTTGAATATTCATATTTGATGTAATTTTGTTTTATTATTTTCTTATATTTTGTTTTCAAAATTACTCCGATGTATCTTAATATTAAATGATAGGTGATCAAACACTCCTAATGTAGAACTATGTGGTAGCGTTCTAGGGTTGAT